GTCTTTCAATAAGAGAATGCTGACCTGACCTAACAACAATGGATTACAAATAACAGCTCTGATTCATTTATATGTCAAGTGAAAAACTCAGTCTATTCTCAAAAACACCAAATTATAGAGCGGAAACCAGATTTGAGGTAAGCAGAGGGCTAGGAAGGGGGCAGGAATTGATTACAAATGTTTAACTTTTTGTCTCTTCCCCTTTCTGCTCTTTCCTATTACCCAACCAAGAGCTTCTTGGTCCCCAAGCTGTTAGGGTACTGCATGGGAAGCCTACCCAATGCACAATGCCAAAGCAGGGCTCGGGGTATGGAGGGCAATGCAGGTCAAGAGTAGTATATGCCTAGCAGGCTTGAGGTGCCAGATACAATGGTCAGGAAACAAACACATTTCTTAAAAGATGTTTTTCAAGATACTAGATCCCAGGCAGTGCAAAAGGTTCTCCGGAAAGAAAGGGAGCTCAGGCAAACGTGTTGGCTGGTAAACAAGTAGAATATACAGTGTAACTGAGAACTGACAGGCAACCCTAACAGGACCACAGAATACAGAATCAACCGGAGAAGCAACTGCAGTTCTTTATCCTTATTTGTAATCAATTAAAAATTGATACTTTAAACAATATTATTTGCTACAGCATCCAAACAAAATATGTTCAATTACACAACACTGGAAACCATAGACAATGCTGGGGTGATTTAAAGAAAACCTAGAAACCTGCACAGACATACTCTGATGAGTTAAAAGCCACTATGTTTAAATGTTGATTATAATCAAACCAATACCTAGAATCAAACATGATCCACAATAAAAACCCAGCTAGCTCTGAACTCAGACTGAGTCTGCACATGGAATACAAGGAATACAATAACAAAACTGGAGAAATTATTCTAGTTGATTTCAAATTTTAAGATGGAGGATAGAGTCAAAAAGTGATTCTGACTTAAAGATAGACACTAAGTCAGTCAAATAGAATCAAAACTCAAGAGAATACATACAAAAATGCAGAAAAAGGGAAGTGCAATAAATACATTTAATAGTAGCTTTATTAAAATGATAAAGCACACACAAGGAACAGTAAGATCATGGATGTTCAGATATTAAAGCAATAAAACATTAATCAACAAGAAAAAAGAATTAAGTACAAATATTCAGTCAATACAGATATAAACTAGTAATATGCTTCACCAAAGCAGCCAGACAAGAGAGCTACATATAATTCAACTGCATAAAATTTCCAAGAAAGACAACAATAAACTAGGACAGAAAAAAAATCAGAACAATTATGGAGGTAAATGACTGGGAAGAATTACAAAGCAACCATCTAGAATAATGAAAACATTCTATATTTTGATGGGTTGTGGATTATATGTAGGCAGCTGTCTGAACTCTGAAATGAAACAGAAGTTTTTCAATTTAAATCTTTCCTCAATTAAAAACAAAATGCATCTTCACTCAAAACCCTGGGTTGCCTCCTATAGCCTAGGTATCTAGAACACAAAATTTGGGACTAGAAAGATGGGCCGGGGTTAAAAATGCATACTGATCTTGCAGAAAAGCAGAGCTAAGTTCCCAGCACCCGGCTTACAACTGCCTGTAACTCCAGCTCCAGGGAAGACAACCTCGAGCCTCCACATGCACATATCCATCCACGCAAACACACACATACCCTTATATGGGGACGCACACCTTTAATCCTCTACTTGGGAAGTAGAGGCAGCAGATTTCTGTGAGTTAAGGTCATCCTGGTCTACACAGTGAGTTCCAGGAGAGCCAGAGTTACAAAACAGAGAGACCCTATTTCAAAAAAAGGAAGACACATATACATAATCAAAAATAATGAAAAAAATTTAAACTCATAATATTTAAAGGCAAGACCTAGAAAATAAGTCTTAAAGGATAACAAAAATCTTACAAGCAAAGAAATGCAAAGTAAGTTGGCCATAATAAAAATCATACAAAGAGAAAGTTTTCAAAAGCTAAAACATTAACACGAATATCACAGCCATAAATATACCATGTACAAAAGAAACAGAAAATGTTATAGTAGACCTGTGAAGTAACGCAGTCTGATTTCCTAAAAATCTCCTAATGGGAGAGTATAGTAACCTCCTGAGAAAGAAGTGGGTGCATTTTAGCTGTTCGGCAAGGAGGAGTCAAAGAAGTCATTTTACTAAGAAGTTCTATCTCATTTGGAAAGATCACTACAGAAAGTAAAAGACAAGAGAGTTCAGGCTAACAGCCTGTCCAATGAAAGTTACTGCAGTCTATAGACTACCGGATACAACCAACAGTATAATGTATACACTTCTCAAATGTCTCAAGGCAGACCACAATCTGTCCATAAAAGACACCTTAACAGAGCAATCAAATAGTATTTACTGTTCAACAAGAAGTAAAACTAGAAATCAGATTAACAGCGCAAAAAAAAAAAATCTCCCCATCAAATACTTGGAAATTAAGCTATGTACTTCTAAATAATACATAGTTCAAAACAATCAAAGATATAAGGAATGAGAATCTAAGTATAAATTCAACATCAAAATTTGTGTGTGACACAAAAGCACTTGGAGGGAAATTTATAGTACTGGGTGCGTGTCAGGATAGAAGCACCTATAATCAATTAACCTAATTAATTCAAAGGAAGAACGGGGCCAATTAGATGGCTCTACCAGTAAAGGCACCTGCAGTACATGCTTGCTCGCACCCACACCAGATGACTTGTCACCAGGGCCCTCTTCCCTTCCCTAGTCCCTACAGGGACCCACATTCACATGCACAGACACACAGATGTACACATGATCAAATATAAAATAAATTAAAAAAAACAAAAAAAATCAACAAAAAAACCCCAATGAAATAAAAAAGTTTCTTAAAGATATCAACACAACCAGCAAGTCCCTCCTGGCGGGAGGTTACAGAGCAGTCCTCACCAGCTACAGGGTCAGTTTCACGAGACAAGGAAGCTCTGGAGAGCTGCTGTACAACACTGCAAATACAGCTTAGCACTACTCAGCTGTAAACTTAAGAACACGCCTACAGCCAGGCTGGGGAAAACTACTGCTATCACACAGGAAAGAAGCAACCACGTGTGCATAAAAAGGGCAATAAAAGAAAACTGCGGACAGTTTGTGCCTGAAAACTGGGAAACATGGCAGAACTGACCAGTTTCTTGAAACAAACTGCCAGGACTCACAGAAGAAATAGATGACCTAAATAGGGCTGCATCTATAAAAAAGAATTTATCAGAGATTCTGAAGTCTTCCAAAATAGAAAGCACCAGAAAGCAAGCACGTAACGGGAGTATATCAACTCACTCCTCTTTCCCACCAGACAGGAACAGGGAACGTTCCTAACTCATTCTGAGGTTTCCAATACCAAACATCAAAACTAAACAAAGACACCAGAGGGAAAATAAAACTGTAGGACACTCTTTCTCATAAATTGGAAAAATAAAGTATTATCAAATCAAATCTAATAATGTATAAAAAGAATTATACTAGAATTCATTAAAGGTATGCAACTCAACACTCAAAACACCAATCCATGTAACCCACTATAAGGGCCCCTGCAGCTGAGTAGGTACAGGTGGGGCACATATGCACAGCTGGCAATGGTTGTCCAGTTATTCACACTGTGTGAACACCTGGGATATAGCAAAACTAGACAAAATAATGCCTTCTAGAATCCACAATCCATCAAGGGGCACACTGGACAAGTCATCACACATCTCCGTCTCAGAGCTCAACCCAGAGTCTGTACAAGTGGCAGGATGGTGACGAAGACGCACTATGTACTCTCAAAAACAACAATGAGTTAGAGCTAAAGTAAATATTCAGTCAAGATATATGATGATCCTCAAGCAAAGAAAAAAAGTACAGCATTAATAATAAAGGGGGAAAAGTCCTCAGGTTCTAGTCCCAATGGTGGAAGAGGTTCTGGTTTTCCCCATCACTGACAACTGGGCATGGTGCCAGTCTGCCTATAAACGCCAGTACGAGGGGTGGTGAAAAGCTAAAGCCAAAGCAAGAGAGTTTGAGGCTAGCCTGGGCTTGACAGCAAGCCTCTTTATCAAAACAAACCATTATAGATAAATACAAAGGTGGAAGAAGACAAGAAAGACACAGATGTCTAAAAAATAATTTTCTTGGGGCTAGGTGAAATTCCAGCACTCGGGAAGTAGAGGCAGGAAGATGTCAGAAAGTTTAAGAATGGCCTGGTCCACACAGCAAATTCCAGGCTATCCTGGGTGATATAGTGGCAGTCTGCCACAAACAAGCAAGTGAACAAATATCAATCAAACACAACCAAAAAGCCAAAGAGAGCACATTCAGTGTCGAGCCCTAATGTCTAGGATAGGGAAGAGTGTTGGGCTGATCATTTCCAAAGCCAGAATTCAACCAAGTGTGTACAAAGGCACAATGGGGCATCTAGGAAAATGAGGCAGAGCAGCAAGCTCGGGAAGAGCTGCAGAGTGTTCTTAGTGCACATGAATCCCTGGCGTCAATCACAACAGCACACAAGAAAAAGGCAGAAACAGAATGCACAACCCCCCCAGACTGTGATCTTTCTCTAAATAGGTTTAAGGTTCAGGATCCATACTCTTTAAGAACGCAGATGCTAGGCAGGGGCAGTGGTGGTGCACACTTTTAACCCTAGCAGGTGTATTTGTGAGCTCAAGGCCAGTCTGGTCTACACAGCTAGTTCCAGGTCGGGGGGGGGGGGGGTGCTACATTGAGAAATCCAGTCTCAAAAAAACACAAACTAAAACCCAAATGCTAATAAACTCAGTCTTTCAAAAGCAAGCACTTAAAATCTAGTATACACATAACCTTGACCAAAACACAAAAGTTGTAAAAATAGATTTCTAAAATAATGACACCAATTCTGCCTTTTAGATCCGATAGGTGTCCACGGCTTACTAACAAATGATTAGCCTTTAAACTGTGTGACTTCTTTGGTGACTTCCAGTATGAACGTTTCAAGTTAGAGTTCGTACTTACAGGGACGTTAAGTGCATATTGAAGTCCTTGAGGAAGGCGCTCATGGGTTTCCATCTGTTCTTCGTCATTTTTTACTGTCTCCTCGTGGACCATGAGTTCATCATGTGATATCATATCCTGTTGTCGCATTTCACTCTCTTGTAACACTTCATCTGCAGCAAGGATCTCCTGGTGAGGCAAACTTCGATCTTGGAGTACTGACTCCTGCAGTTCTCCAGACACAGCGGACTGGCCAGACACTCCACCCATCACAACCATTGCCCTGGAAGACTGCATTTCGTCTATGCCGCCACATTTAAGAAACAATCCTTCCAGTTTGTCGTCAATGTTCATGCTTAAGTATAACTGCCTAGAAAGACCAAGTTTGGCAACAAAGCATAACACATTAGTTTGTATGTCTAACTTGGTAGTATTTTAATTTCAAATTATAAAAGGTATGCATTCAAATAGAAACTTTTTATTCATCTAATTTATATAATTACCAAGATTGACTTCCAGGGGCTAGAAAAGTAAAACCAGTTTTCACTCTGAAATTAAAGCATAATCCTAATCTATTCCATTACTGAAAGTGACCCTTACACAAAATAGGTTAGAAGAAGTATCTGTAGCTTCAGTTCAAGAACCTTCAGATTTCAACATATTATAGTGCCGTAAAATTTAAAACGAACTCAGTGAAACGTAACCTGACAAAGGACACTATCAGTTAAACCACTAATGCAAACAAAACCCTCATAATACTAAAAAGGGCAGTGATGCAGTTCAGTTAGTACAGCGCTTGGCTAGCATGCTCAGTCAGTCACAACGGCATGGTGCACACGCCTGCAAGCCCAGCATGGGAGGCATAAATACTGTTGCACGCTGAGGACAGAGGATGGATGGGATCTTCACTCCCAGTGATGGCACACAGGGAGTGAGTCCTATGGTTTACTGACCTCTTCTCTAAAGACAGTGCTGAAGATCATCTTTGGTTCAGTGACCAAAATTAAATTAAATTCCAATTACTACTAAAATTAAAATGTCCTTTTACTTACTAAGGATATCATCAAGGGAATGGTATTTTCTTCAGTGAACAGTTCACTGACCTTTATAAACAGCAAATAACACAAAAGTCTAATTCAGACTCGTCTTGCCTTCCCAGGTACTAGATGTTATCAGACTGAAGGACATATGATGACCAAAGAGCAACATTTGATTTTACTTTTCAAAATCCTCATATAGCAAACAAACTCTTAAAGGTCAACCATTTATAACTTCTATCTTTACGTTCTGTTTTACACATTTCTTAGAGAATAAGCTATTCTACAGCTAAGTAAATGTTGTGTAAGGGGTAAAGGTTGATTTTCTGGCCAATTCTTTGGAAATACTAGAAACTACGCTTATATCTAAACTACCTACTGTTTTCTTACAGAATGTGGAAAGTCCCCAGCGCACAGGAACTTGCACATGAACAAAACACTTCTACTGCACCTACTCCTATCACATGTGCCATTATTTAAAAGAAGAAAAAGAAAACTTGAGGATTTTAGAGAATATAGAAAATGTAAAAAGAAAAAAACAACATAAAGTAAGTGGTTTAGGAGAAAGTGTCAGCTTTTGTTTTTGTGTTTTATCAAGAGATAAGCATCCAGCTGATACTGTTACTCCAGCCCAAAGTTTTCCTATAGCAAAGGCTATCTTAACTGCCACAGTTTTGATCAATAATTGAAAACTACATTCTTGTACTTGTATCAAATCTGGAGGGAAGCAAACAAACAAACTAATAAAATATAACATCAAGCTGAAACATAAGAATTAAGGAAGCATTTTAGAGACAAAGGGTATTTGGGGTAGAGGAAGCATCAAGTACTTCAGTAAGGGTCTTAGAACAGGAACATAGCATGCTTCAAATAGAGCAAGTAAATTAAAATAAGAAGAACCAGTCCAAGGAGAAAATAGACCTGACTCTTCAAAAATCTCCCTGAAGATAATGATATGTCAAGATGAAAATTCTCTTCCTTCTCGCCCACGGTTACTGACTCCTACAATCCTAAATGAAGTTAAACCTTTACACTTAAACCGGATAACTACAAACTGGACAGTTTTCCTGCAGCACCAGAAAACACTTGGTATCAATGATCACTGTTCAAACTTTAAAGTATAAGCCTTGGAAATATTTATCAAAAGAGAAACTGTGTGTAGTTCCCCAACACCACCCAAGACAGGGTTTCTCTGTGTAGCCCTGGCTGTCCTGGAACTTGCTCTGTAGATTAGGTTGTCCTCCAACTCACAGATTCAACTGCCTCTGCCTCCTGAGTGACGGAATTAAAGGTGTGTGCCACCACCGCTCAGGAAACTGTGTGTATTCTTGACCTAACATTTGGTTTGACTATAGATTGCTTTCCCTACCCAAAGAGGCTATTATTTACAAGGTTGACACCTCAATAGGAGTAGTGCTGGGAAGATTCTAGAAATTTAAAGCAGTGAGACCTAGCTAGAGGAAGTAGGTCATGGGGATGGGTCTTTGGGGAACATTAATTATTCCTGACTCTACCAGCCCCAAAATACCTTTAAATAACCCGCATTCAAGTATTAAAAAGCAACATACTTCTCTTTTCAAGTGCCGACCTTTCTGTTTATTTATTGAACTTGGTAGTAACATTATTTCCTACTCTGTCACTGAGTAATATGGAACTTCAAATGTACATTATAAGTCAAAATAATACAATGGGCAAGCTTAGGAACCTAAATATCATTTTATTTTCTATGAAAAGAGTAATTTTTAACTTCATATTATTCTCCAAGGGTAAACAATATGCCACCGTTACACTGGAACCCACACTCAAAGGAATTTACTCTGAAAAGCAATTATTTCTCTGGCCAACCACCAAGGCCCTAAGGACACAAGCAAAAGCGTGTGCATGCAAGGTAAGCATTCACTGGGCTGTATCCCGAGACCTCACAAATGACTTTTGAACCAAAACATTTTCACCAAATCCCTGTTTATTTGGAGGATTTCTGTTAAATTAATCTGGATATTCATAGTTCCACTGTTTACAAATCACAGAGAAATCCCATTATAAACATATAACTTGAGAAATACAAATATCAAGCAGCCAGCTGGTTGTAGTGCTACTTGACCACAATCCAAGCACACGGGATGCAGGAGCAAAAGGACCACTGCCAGCCTGGTCAACAGAGCAAGACTCTGTCTCTCAAAAAAAAAAAAAAAAAAAAAAAACAAAGCACATATGTGAGGGTGCTTGGCAGGGGGTGACGTGTACATAATATATGAGCCTCACGATATCACATTTGGTGCTATGAAGAAACCCTATCAATACAGAAAGACCCTTCACATTTCCATTCCATTCCAAAGAGTGTGCTATACTCTCGTACCCTTCAAAATACAGTTTTGATCTACTCAAAATGTTTATTTTTCAATGAATGGACAAAATACTTCTTGTCTAGGCACAGTCTATATTAGATACAGCTCATATATGACTTTGCTTTTGTTTTTAATCTTGTTTTTTTCAGACAGTATTCACTCTGCAATCCAGCAATCCTCTGCCTTATCCTTCCAAGTACTGGAATTACAGGCATGACAATGTGTCCAGCTCTCAGACACATCTTTCTATAAATACCATTTTGTATATTATAAAGCCTTTCTTGAAAACTACATTTTTTTAAGTGTTAATATTTCAAAACAGCCTTAAGAACCATGTTCATAATGGCAACAAGACAAAATGGTCTTTCTGATCCATGCCAGCAGCAACAGAAGATATTGAAATAATAAATATAATTTTAACAGATATTAATAAAATTACTAATTAGAGATTTTTCAGGATAAGGGTCTCCATTTTGTAAAAAAACAACTTAGATAAAACTGACCAATTTTAACCATAGAAAAATAATCTATAAATACTTAAGGAAAAGTTAGTAGATACTCTCACATAATAGAAAAAAACACTCAAAAACCAGGATCTAAGCATGTAATATATTTCAAATATTATAAAAATCAGAAAATAGTGGCACAGAGAAATTAAAACATTACACTTTTGCCAACTCAAGCTGTTTAAGAAACAGGTATAGCTTATCTGTATCGAGGAGTGTAGGGGAGGAGCACACCAGGCTCGCACCAAGTCCTTGCTACAATTGGTGTACATTACACTTAGTGCCAGCACAGACTCAAACTACTGTTCATTAGAAAACTGAATTCCATCATTTTATGTAACACAGGCGTGAGAAATACTTCTTAAACTTCCCTAGGCACAATGAAAAAATGTTTAACACCTAATACTTTGTTTAATATGCTAGATTACTGACCAAGATCTATTTAAGAACAGAAGAGGCATTAACTATTTAAAACAGTAATTTTATTACTGCTTTTAATAAAATTAAACTTGACACAAACTCTAGTGTGACAGCTGGGTGCCCAAACCCACACCCGAAAGCAATTATTTTTTATCTAATAATAAGAATAAGTTATGTGATGGGGTTAGAGCGATGACTCAGCGATGAGGAGTATAGGTAGTGGTGGTGCGCACCTTCAATCCCAGCACTCGGGTGGCAGAGGCAAGCGGATCTCTGTGAATTTGAGACCAGTCTGGTCTACAGAGTGAGTTCAAGGACAGCAGGGCTACACAAAGAAACCTTGTCTCAGGGGCTGGAGAGATGGCTCAGAGGTTAAGAGCATTGCCTGCTCTTCCAAAGGTCCTGAGTTCAATTCCCAGCAACCACATGGTGGCTCACAACCATCTGTAATGAGTTCTGGTGCCCTCTTCTGGCCTGCAGGCATACATGCAGACAGAATATTGTATACATAATAAATAAATATATTTAAAAAAAAAAAAAGAAACCTTGTCTCCAAAAGCCAAAAACAAACAACAAAAACAAAAAAGAACACATGCTCCTCTTATGGAGGACCTGGGCTTGATTCTCAGCATCCACACAGTGGCTTACAACCATCTGTAACTCTAGTTCCAGGATCTCCAAAACCATCTTCTGAGCTCTATAGGTATAGGCGCATACATGGTGCACATATATACACAAAGGTAAAACACCCATAACAATAACTACCAGCAAAAAAAAAAAAAACCTTTAAATTTTGTAAGACACATAGCTGCCAAGGTAAAACTTATTACCCAGCCTCCCTTGCAAGTGGTGGTCAAATAACCAAGTTATAGCCAAAGGAATATAAGTGGAAGAGATACATACAATTCCTTTAAAAGAAAGCAAAATGGAGCTCAAGAGATGGTTCAGCAGTTAAAAGATTGATCTTTCAGAGAACCTGGTTCCAATTCCCAGCATACACACATCAGCTCACAACCATCTGTAATTCCAGTTCCAGGAGATCTGATACCCTCTTCTGGCCTCTACAAGCACCAGGCAACTGCATGGATTACAGATATATAAGCAGGCAAAATACCCATACATATTAAATAAAATAATAAATTGCAAAGTATTCTTTAGTTTTCTTCTCTCCAATGGCAGGCACTATAGCAACCACACTCAGTAAGATGGCATCTAAAGGTTACTAAACAGGCTGGAGAGAGGCTCCAGGATTTAAGAGCACTTGCTGCTATTACAGAAAACCTGGGTGGATTTCCAGCACCAGCATAGAGGCTGACAACCACCTGTAGCTCCAGTTTCAAGGGATCCATTGCCTCTTCTGGCTTCTATGGGCACTTCACACACATGGCGCACATACATACAACCTGGCAAAAAGCTTATACACAGTTTTTTTTTTTTTAAAGTTTAAAATTTTTAAAAAATATTCAGAATTGCAAAGGCTGATGGTCTAGATAATAATAATATACTTAGAAGGAACAATGCTCTAGGTTCAATCACTCTTAATAACTTTATCCTATCCCAATTCCCAAAGAAATCACAGCAATGGCAAGCCCTGGAGTATCAGAATTGTAAACCCTCCAAAAGACCATGAGATAATTTACAACAAGCTTTCAGGTAGATAAAACTGCATTTCTATGATTATAAGCCTATCACAGTAGATAACTCTATAAGCTAAAATATGCTATAGACTGCTTACTTATTTTACTACAGGTAAATAAACAATATGTACACATTTAGAGTACAATGTTATCTTAGTTTCTTTTCCTTTGGTTGTGATAAAATACACAGAATGAAGCACAGGAGCTCTCAGCTCACCTGTTGAATGTTAAACAGGACAGGATTCCCTGTTCACAAGATGGTCCCACTTACAATTTCTGAGTCTTCTCACATCAGTTAACCCCCTACATTCTCAGAGGATAACCTTAACCTCAACCTAGATAATCTCTTACTAGTAAGTCTAGAGGCTTAGCTTTTACAGTTCTAGATTCTAACAAGCTGACAACATTAACCATCACTTATAGTTCTGTAAATATTTCAAAAAATATATGGTGTATTAATAGTCTAAGTTTTTTTCAAGTATAAAGTTTCTCTAGACATTCTGGAAAATGTAATGTTAGGATAGTAGGGTAAAAGTGTAATCTTTGTTAGGGAAGATTAATCAAGAGAATAATTACTACTTGAATTTCACTTATCATTACATGATATGTTAATCAGCTTCATTTTAAAAAATTTCTTAGGAATCCAAGCATAGTGATGCGTGCCTTTAATTCCAGCACTTGGGAAGCAGAGGCAGGTGGATTTCTGTGAGTTTGAGTCAGCCTGGTCTACATAGTGAGTTCCAGGACAGCCAGGGCTACATACTAAATAAAACCCTGTCTCAAAAATAAAATAAAATATCTCTTGAGAAAAATATAAAGTCTCCTCCAGATATAAAATTCCAAACTAAAACTATTATACAAACCCAATACAAAATCTATCATCCAAAAAAAAGTTTGTATATATTTGAAAAAATTAACTTCTTTAACACAGTGGGTTAAGGAGCCACTCCCAACACTTGACCAGTCCAAAGCTCTGGACAGCAGTGAACCATGCAGTTAGAATGGCTACTTCAAATTGTATACCATTTTTATTCATAACTTAATTAAAATACAGTTTAAAAAATAAATAAAATTATTTTTCAAGATAATGAGAAATAAGTTACCCGAGACTGAAGTAAAAATGAAGACTTCAAGGAAGAGAACGCTGTTGAGTTGAGAGAGAAATCATGGTTGAGTTTCTACCTTTTACAGGCTCTAGGAACTCTCAATATCCTCTCAGTCACTTGTGCCATTCAATTCCTAAAATAAAGATACATACACAATAAGCAAGACACATTACATTCAAAGGGGAAAATGCTGTGACCCAGTATGTATGTGCGAACTGTATGAATACCGAAGAGATTATCTGTGCATTTAGTGAGCCATGTCTGAAGGAGAATACACTGACTTGTTTCTTAGGTATGAGACTGAGAAAGCACAACAGTGGCAGGTAGGAAATAAGATATAACTCCGGCTTTCTAAGAAATAATCTGCCTTGGGCCCAGAAAGAGGGCTCAGCAGATAAAGACACAGGATACCAAGCCTGCTGTCCTGGAACTCACATGAAAGATGCAAGGAACTGACCTAGCAAGTTGTTCTCTGATCTCTACAATTCTCCCTTCCTTATATGTCACGTGCATGGACAGAGGATGGATAGATGAATGGACGGATAAGATTTTAGGCAGATATAATTTGCCTAGATCAGGAATCTACAACTCTGAGAAATTAAATACTACATCAATATTCAGAGGGCTATATAACTAAATGAAAATAGAAAACACAGATTAAGCAACCACACAAAGACACTAGTCATAACTACTTTATTAGGTTTGTGCACAGGTGTGGTGGTGCACGCGCCTTTTAGTCCCAGTTCTAGAAAGGCAGAGGTAGCTTGGTCAAAAAAAAAAAAAAAAAAAAAAGTCTGTGAAGTGAAAGAGAAGCAAACACATATAGGTCTCAAAACTACAAGCACAAGTTGTGTTGTATTCACAACAGGAAGAGTACCATCTTAAGGTCATGTGAGCATCTTAACATACGAACATGTCATCAGCGTTATCTGAGAAGGAAAAAACTGACAAAAAGATGAAAATAATCATTCAGAAAATGTGTAATATAACCAATACCAAAGATCACAGGCTATACACAGACGAACTTTCTGACAGCAAGCACTTCTGAGCAAAATATCAAACTATGACTGAAATTTCCTAACTTAGTGGGTTCATAGACACTTTGCATCTGATTTACAAAACAGCCTATGACTGTACATATTTGCCATGGCACAAAACAAAAATATTCTTGCCCACTTAAAGCAAGAACAGTAACAATTCCCCAGTATTCAGGAAGCAATGGCAATTGATCTCTGAGTTTGAGGTCAGCCTAGTCCATATACGTGAGCTCCAGCCCAGCCAGGGCTACTATGAGGCTTGTTACAGCAAACAAAGATAGACTTCTGAAGCTTCTATAAACATCTGAAAGTTAAGACAGACCTATTGGTGCTCAGTGTTTCATTTCTATATTTTCCTGGATATTTATGCTTATTTTTCCTAATAAAACATGTACAAAATAAAATATGCTCCCTTTTTTAACCGAACTGTTACCACACATAAACAATACTAAAAATAACAACTATATGAGAATTGGGGAACAACAATCTCGACTTGCAATATTATACGTGTATAACATACACCATGCAAAATACCCATTTTCAACAACCATAAGGTGATGTAGATGGGCCTTCTGTCTATGTGTTATTTTCACTGGTTAATAAAGAGACTGCCTTGGCCCTCTGATAGGACAGAAAATTAGGTAGGCGGAGTAAACAACAGAATGCTGGGAAGAGGGCAATGAGGCAGATGCCATAGAGCCAGCCACCAGGTCAGACATGCTGAATCTTTTCTGGTAAGCCACCACCTCGTGGTGCTACACAGATTATTAGAAATGGGTTAATCAAGATGTGAGAGTTAGCCAGCAACTAACTCTCTACAGATAATGGGCCAGGCAGTGTTTAAATGAATACAATTTGTGTGTTGTTATTTCCGGGACTAAGCTAGCCATGCGGGAGTGGGGGCAGGACGAAAAGCAGGCCTGCCTGCAGCCCCTCACTACAATAAGGTATTAAATAGCAGAAATGAGAACTTATGCTACTGTGCCAGTAGTGCAGCACTTGGATAGCACGCATGAGGCTTAGACTCCGTCCACAGTATGAACCAGAAAAAGATGACACAAGCCAGATGTGGTGATTCACATCTTTAACCCCAGCATTTGGGAGGCAAAAGCAGGAGATACTTATGAGTTTAAGGCTAGCCTGGTCTATATTTCCAGTAACAGGACAGCCAGGACTACATAGAAAGACTGTCTCAAAAAAGCAAGTAAGGAAGGCAGGCAGGGATCATCAAAAGCACAGGCAATATAAGGTGTTTCTAAGTGCCCTCACAGGTTGGTTTAAAAAAAAGATTTCAAAAAATTAAGTTAAATGAATTCAAATCATGTTTCAACCTTATTTTAACTATGAAAACAATCAGCTAACAAGTAAAATTCTCAATAAAGCAAAGAAATTATTTCAAAGACCCTAAAGGAAATTTGGGGACTAAAGAATATGGTTACTGAAATACACAAAATGAATGCCAAGTACTCAAAAACAAACTCACAACTGCAAAAATATAAAAATGAAAATAAATAAAACCAGTAGCCTTAAATGTACATCTATAGAAATTACCCAATTAGGGTCGACCAGATTGCTCAGTAGGTAGAGGTGTCTGTTGCCAAGCATGATCAGCTGAGTGGAAGGAGAGAACCAACTCCTACAAGCTGTCATCTACCTTCCATATGTGCCACTCCTTGCACAAACAAGAACAAATAAATGTAGTAAGTTGATCTTTATAAAAGAAAGAAATTTACTCAATATAGAGAGGAAAAAATAAAGAGAGTCCCAGAGATAGTGAACCAACACCCTGCTTACTTGTATTTCTTAATACAAGGAGGAAACAGAAAAGGTAAAATTTATTAAAACACAAGTCAAATATTCCCCAAATTTGACTAATATAAAAAAACAAGCTTACAAATCCAAACTCAACGAACTTCTGTTACAAGAGATACAAAATGGCCTATTCCTGGATTCGTCCAAATAAAACTGTTGAAAGTAAACATAAGGAGGAAAAGGCAGCATGCACAAGAAACCACAGTGGTGGCCTGGATGAGAACAGCCCACAGGCTCATGTTTGAATACCTGGTCCCCAGCTGACAGAACTGTTTGGGAAGGATCAGGTGTGACCTTGTTGGAACAAATGTGTCACTAGGGGCAGGTTTTGAGGTTTCAGAGGAAGCCATTTTCAGTGTACTTACTCTCTGCATCCTGCTTGCTGTTGGAGATGGGAGGTGTCAGCTGTTTCTGCCTCCAAGTGTTTGCTTCACCATCATAGATTCTAACCCTCTATAAGCATAACCCCAATTAAATGCTTTTTAGAAAATGCTTTGGCCATGGTGTTTTATCACTGCAACAGAACAGTAACTAATACAACCATCAAGAACAGAGGTTAGAAGATGGTGGAATCACAGACTGGCGGTGGGGAAGAGGGAGTTGGATGGAAAGAGAGGATATTGAAAGAAAAATATTTCTTCTAAACGCACGCTCTCCAGCAGAGACCACACTGAACAATCTTCAGCAGACTACTCCACTATGGCACAGAACACTCTTTATTACAGACACTACACTAAGCAGCAAGACAGCCTAAGTAAAATTAAAAGGACTCAACTCCTAAAGATATGTTCTCCAACCATAATGAATTTTAATTAGATAAGTAAGGGTTCTATTACTTTTTATAACTTGAATTGTTTAAAATCTGAATTTATAGCCAGGTAGAGGTGTAACATGCCTTTAACCTGAGCACTCAGGAGGCAGAGGCAGGCAGATCTCTGCAGGTTCAAGGCCAGTTTGGCCTACAGAGAGAGTTCTAGGTGAGACCCTGTCCCAAAAAAAAAAAATAAACAAAAATAAAATCTGAACTCACAGATGTCTTTATATAAGCAGCAAATGCAGAGATCCAGCACTGCATTTCTCCAGAGGAGAAGCTGACTATCCTGACATGTTTACCAGGTTACTTGTTTTCTTTGTTTTTTAAGAAGTGAGCCTTTCTTTCCATGATTCTCAAATAAAGTTGTCTGAGTTGGGTGCTTCAGAGAGAGTCATCAAAGAAACAAAATCCCCTTCCCTCACCTGACTCCTCCAATTCTTCCTTGGCTTTGCCTTGACTGGGGAGGCAGAAACAGGCGTGGTCACAATCACAAATGCAGGTGGATCAGCCAAGGAGGCCATGTGGATTATTATTTTCTTTTCTACATTTTTAAACATCAAACTTATTAAGTTTTCTCCTTTTTCTGAGACATGGTCTCAAGAAGTCCAGCCTGACCTCAAATTTACCACATCCAGAGCTAGTCCTGAACAAGTCCTGCTGCTCCGCTGCCTCCACCTCCCAAGTCCTGGAAAGCAGGTGCACACCTTGATGTGTAACCCATTCACTACATTTTCTATGTCTCTATTTCTGTGACCTATTGTTGACCTTTTTAAGTATTGTTGTATAAGGAGAGGGCTGCGTTCCCAGCACCCAGATAGCACAATCGGTAGAACATGAGACTCTTAATCTCGGGGTCGTGGGTTCGAGCCCCATGTTGGAAGCCAGTTAATGAAGTAAGTCACAAAACAATCCCACACCAGTTTGGAATTAAGATTAATAAAAGGGTTTTTATTTAAAGGGAAAAACTTACAGATCACCGTCCTAGACAACAGCCTCCTGCACGACCAGGAAAAGCGTCTGATAGCCGGAAGTGGCTGCCACCGCTTTTTTAAAGTGAAAGATACCACATCCTAGTGTGGCTGGTATCTCAAAGGCTATTGGCTAAAGGAGCAGGAGCTCCCGCAGCAAAGTATCACAGTTTACTAACTCTAGAAAACTGCTAGTATTATAACACAACTATTTGATATCACCAAGAGAGAAAAAGAAAGTCAAACTAGGATGAGTTAGGAATTTGGGTCACTCACAGAAACTACAATGGAGAGGGAAAGTAATCACATACTCAGGGATGGCAATCTCTTCACGCTTATGCACAGTTCTCAACTCTACATTTACCAGAGCCAAGAAGGATAAGAAACATCTAACAATTAAAAAAAATAAGCTTCTGTAAGATTGAAACAAAACCAAAATCACTAGAAAAGCAAATACAAAGTAAAAATAATTCTCTTTAACAAAATGACAAGGAGTCTATCCCTAACATACAACTATACACAAAAAATAATAGGACCACTCCCTCCAAAAAACCTGACAAATAAATCATTTGCTAGTGTTGTCAAAAGAATAAACCATGCTCACAGTGACAGCCACTGATGTGAGGTATACACTGTAGAGATACACACTCATCCAAGCTGTCAATCATCCATTATCTTTGGCCCAACAATTTTTCCCTTAGAAATTTAAGTAGAGGCTGGAGAGATGACTGAGCAGTTAAAAGTCCTTACTCCAAATCCATGATGGGCAGAGTTTAGCACCCACACAAGCCAGGTGTCCCTGCAAAAGCCTGCAACTCCAGCTCCAAGGGTCCAAGAAAAGGAGCTTACCCAAGAAAACAAAGACAAGGTTCGAGGAAAGACCTTACCTCAAATGAAAGAAGTGGAAGTGATAAAAAGTACTGATTGTCCTCTTCTGGCCTCGGGATTATAGACAGAAGTGTAAACACCTTCTAGCTAGCGTGCTCACACAGACAGACCTGCTGGCTAGTGTGCTCATATAAACACAAAAAATGTTTATAAAAGGAATTTAAACTGTAAGTACATTCAAACTATGTACAAAGATATGTCCAAGAATTTGTACTACATGAAAAACTCTAAAAACCTAAATAGTTATATATAGGTGGCTAATTTAAAAGATCATGGTATATCTAAATACTAAAGAATATGAGAAGAAATGCCAAAACATGAGAACTTATTTTAAAAGCACACTGAAATACAATATACATAAAATTTAAAAATGTAAATATAGCCTGGTTGGTGTCACACATTTGTAATCCTAGCACTTCGTGGCTAAGGGAGAAGTATCGCAAAACTTCAAGGCCATTTTAGCTACAAAATGAGTCTAAAGCCAGGATGAGATATGCAGAGACTTTGTCATGGGGAAAAAAATAAATTAAAAAAAATGCTTTAAAGTAAATATGTGCTTGTGTATCCAGAGAGACATCTTGGAGAATTATATAATATTAACAAAAAACGGGAGAGAATACCATTTGTTTTTAACATTTTGACAATTCTCTACTGTTTACAGTGAAATCTAGGTAAAGGCAGTTACAAATAGTAGGTATCACGTTTGCCAGAAGACATGGACAAAGAAAACCCTAAAATATGATCCTAAAAACTGGTAATATTTTCAATCCTCAAGTTATAAAGAATTCTCAAAATAAATTTAAAAATTCATAATACAACTTTAAAATTTGTATGACCATTAATAACTGACATAACAATACATGTTACAAGTGAGGTATGGACATGCCTTTTAATCCCAGGAGAGGCAGGCAGAGCTGAGTTCAAGGCCATCCTGGTTTAAGGAGCAAGTTCCAACGGCAGCCAGGGTTACAAAGAGAACCTTGTCTTAAAATACTAAGTGTTATAAATAAGATATATAAATGAGTTTATAACTGTTAAATATTGCATTTTCTTTCATGTTGTTTGTTAAAGGCACAGGTTTAACACAATGACCAAGATATGCAGCAAAGAAAGAAAAGGATCACCTGTCCTACTAACATAAAGGATCAGGTTAAATGAAAGCCAATGGGCTTTACCTCACAACCCAGTACACTACCTCTCTGCAGAGTCTAGCTGTGCAGAACTTACAGCACTGCCATGCTGGTCTCTGAAGCCTATGCTCTGCATAAGCAGTACAACAGGACTATCCAGGACATGAAGAGGGTCTATACAAGTCTGGGGACATCTTATGTGAAAACTAGAGTCTGGACAAACAAAGATGTATTACCTCTATAAAATGTGTCAGGCAAAGACCCATCCCACCAGGTCACTTGGCTCAATTTCCAAGCCACCGATTCTTCTCTTCTACCCTGTAAAGGATGAAAATACAAGTTAGTCACCCAAAAAAATCAAATTAAACACATTCTTACAGCTAGGCAAAACAGGTCCAATTAAATGTGAAAAATCTAACAAAGTTCTTTTCATAAGTAGATGCTATTGGATTAAGCAATTCACAACTAGTGCTCCAACTGCAATGGCCATCAATACTGATTATCAAAGAAGGTAAATTGCCTTTTTTTCAACGTTGAGTTAAGGACTAAGATGTATTAAAAGTCAGGACAATAATTTTGGATTATTTTAAACTAGAGAAAGAAAAAAACACAAATGTGTTGCTTGTACAAAGAAACTGCACACAAGGATCACAAACAAGCTGGAAACACTTGTCTTAAAAAGAAGTAAAAATAGCCAGGCGGTGGCAGCGCACGCCTTTAATCCCAGCACTCGGGAGGCAGAGGCAGGTGAATCTCTGTGAGTTCGAGGCCAGCCTGGGCTACAAGAGCTAGTTCCAGGACAGGCTCCAAAGCTACAGAGAAACCCTGTCTCAAAAACCAAAACAAAAAACTAAAAATATAAAACAAAACACGCACTGATGCCCTCCATGTGTTGATTACTCACTTACTATTTCCTGATAAACCCCACAGCAACACTGCCTCTTGCTGAAATGGCTAATGCTAAAATTAACAGTGTAGCTTTGGGGCTGCTCAGCAGTTAAGAGCAATTGTTGCTCTTGCACTGGATCCAAGTTCAATTCTCAGCATTCATTCTGGGAAGCCTGAACTCTAGCTCCAAGGGAACCACTAACCTATTCAGGACTCCACAGGCACCTGAACTCATATCACTACACACACATACACACACAAAATGGTGGCTCATATCCATAATTCTACATTCAAGAAACTGAGTCAGAAAGATGCCCATCAAGGTCAACAGAGACTTACACAGCAAAGTCTAAGCAACACAGAGCTACGCAGCAAGATCCTGTCTCGAGGAGGGGGTAGAGGTAGGGCAGGTAGCTGTGAATGTACCTGTCTACCATCCATTCAATATTGAGAATTGTATAAACACAGCATGGTGGTACATGTCTATAACCCCAGAACTTCAGGAGGAGGAGGAGGAGGAG